GAGTCATTTAATCAAGGAAATAAACCAGTCAAAGCATAATAAGAACTGAACTATTTAGCCAAACACAGGACCCTGTCAGTTCGTACAACCTGAAGTAGCTTATATTGTCCTCCCTGGCATGGATTATCTGGTCACCCTACACTAAAAGCTCAAATACCCCAAGTATGTCCTGAGAGGATCTCACCAACACTCATGCCTTCAACACCAGGGATTTCTGCTCAGTGAGCGTGAGCTAAATCAATCAGTCAGTCAATCAATATATCCATCAAAGTCCTCATAAGGTCACAGGAAGCAGAGCAGAAACATCCCAGGCAGAAACTCTGTATATTCAGAGCAGAGCATAGAGTGGATCCACACAGCATCCATCTACTGTCAAACACAGTTGACTTGCTGCATGTTTTTTGAGAGGCCCTGTTGCTTGTTACAATATTTACAGACATTTCCATGTCAGGGGAACAAAGGATTATTATTGCATTAATAATCTGTTGTCTCTCCCCAATGCCAAACACAAGCCAATATAATTTTTCATTACAAATATAGATTAATGCATGAAACTATATGTATAAAACAGTGTCTGGGAGAAAAATGGGGGGGGGGGATACAGCCCCCGCAGATAAATGTTCGGAATGAAAGTGCTGTGCTGCAATAGCTATGGGCAAATAAGACCAGAGAGCACAGATTGGATTGTGTTCTGTTAGATGTGTTAGTCAAGTAGCCCCTCTCCGCCTACAGAGACATCTTCTCTCAGATGGGGGGGGGGGGGGGGTTGACAGTGGATGCAACTGTCGTCCTCCAAGCATTTCATGTTGCTAGGTGACACTCGCAGTGCCGTAAACTGCCAGAAAGCTGGTGCCTAACTCACACTGACTGCAGAACTGGCACAGGCTTTGTTCATTGAGAAGGTGACCTACGATGGGGATTAAGTTGTATTCTAGTTTGAGAAAAATGAGAAAATTTAATAAGTAAGGAGGTCTGGGAGGGGTTGAAGGTCAGTGTGGGTGTAATAAAAAAAATTAACAGCCTGCCGTTAGCCCGAGAAGAACGGCTGGAGAATGAGGGGCAAACAGGACGGCGTGAATGAGACACTGTATGACGGGCAGTTTCGCTCAAGCGTGCGTCTGTGAGGTCGGGTTCAAGGGTGTGACAGAGCAGGCACATGAAATTCAGGCAGGAAACACCTTCTGGGGGAACTGTGGTCCTCCTAAGATCTGACACTGCCTGAGCAAGAGTTGCTGTCATTTTTTCTGTATTTAGTACACTGTTCAGAAACAAGTGTTTTTAAATTATTATGAATGGGGAAAATGTTTACTGTGTTTTTATTAGAAATCCCCTTTTCACAGCATCCTGACTTCACACCTGATCCAATTATGTGTAAAGCCTGTATATATGTGTGGATCATTTTTCCCAAGCAAACGTGAATCGGACCTCTGGAACCATGTCTTGTGAAATAACCAGGAGAGTTTTCCTTTACATCCCAAAAGCTGAAATTTCACTTTCGTGTATCTCATTCTGACAGTATTTTTAAAACTTTTAATGTTGTTTTATAAGCTGGAAATTTAGATGAAGGAACCCTTTGAACCACTCTTGTCATGTGACCTATACTGGTTAATGTCGGCCTGTGCTGACCAAGGCCCATTCACACCGGCCTGTGCCCCTACAAAAGATTTCCCAAAATGCACTGCTTCCTCTCTCCGGAAGGTTTGTCCTTGGTCTTGAATGTACAGGGGCTGGTGCTAAGAAAGCCTCCTGCCCATTTTTGGATTATTTAATGCCACATACCCCTGACATTAACTTAATATACTGTAGATACCCCCACTGTGGCAGTAGGCAATGCAGCCAAATAAAATCCACACAGCCTTTGGATAAATCAATCCCATCTCTTTTCAAAAAGTTTGTTGTTGCAGGCTGCTGTCTGTGCTCGAATTAGTTATCACCTCTGCTCACAATCACAACCTTTAGAAAAGTGTGTGTATTAAGACCTATTTTTGCAGATAATAAAATACACTGAAAAAGTTACAGTATCTGTTTACTTCTTTATTCTGAATATAATAAACCCATATAACTAAATTTAAAAAGACAGACCTTGAACCCAGTTGTGTGGGAGAGAGATTGATATTGGGGGGGTAACTTAATAATCTTAATGTAACAGTTTATTTTTTGGTAGGGTGAATAAAGCCAAATTAAATTCTGGGGGGGTACTCATCCCACCACCCCCCTGTTCCTACACCCCTGCTTAAACATAATATTAATATGGGGGGGGGGGGGGGGTGCATGTCCTGCCTGTGTTCTGTGTTGACTCCATGTACTGCAATTTCCTCCTTCAGTCCGAAGGCCTTCAGTTTTGTCTCAAATGCCCACAATGTGTGTCTGTGTGTCTGTATTTGCCTTGTGATGGAGCGGCATCTTTGTAACATTTTAGAGCAGCTTGAACATTTTTCCACTCAACAATATATGTATGTAATGAGTACAAAAGGAAATTATCACAAAAACAATACTAAGTCCATCGCGTCACGTAACCTCACGCAGTTACTGGGGTAATATTAATTATTTAGTATAAATAAAATATATATATTTAATTGAATCCAAATTATTATTTTTTTTTATTCCACTAATTATAAAATTAGCTGTGATGGACGTGATGAGATTCTAATATGTTGCCTAACTAATCGCTTGCAGTTTTTTAAATGTGTATTTCAAATGCACGTTTGTGATGTTCTTTCATATATAATAGGCTTATCGAACAGGAACAGTAAAAATAGTGATTACAATTACCTCTACTCTAAAAAAGCTATATACGACACATCACATTTAGAGGTTCCCACACTCAGTCACGCGCTCGCGCACACCCACAGCACTTTACCTGAATGGTGCCGCGCACTTATTCTCACTTATTCTCAGGGGACAGGCACGTGGGACAGGCACGTGGTTAGTAAGACCACACTCTGGATCTGAACGGGTCTTTCGATGCCAAATTATTTATTTAGATTAGCATAGATTCCGTTATTTTCGCCAGGCCCGGAATTATTTTCTTTAAATCAGTACAATTATTATCACTGGGAACATTCATTCATTCACTGGAAATACATTTCTAATAAAACTGTATGCACTGGCAAAATTATAATTTCGTGATTTCTGACTAAAGAATAATTTCAATTTCCCATTTTTTTTTCGAAAGATTATAGTGGATCTAATGTGTAAATACTTTTAATTTTTCCTAAATATAAATAAATAAATAAAAGATTTTAAAAGATTCTTTCGCTCCTGTGAACACCAACAAAACCACCCATACACAATAGGGCCCCCCTGCCCCGACTCGCGGCACCGCGCGCCGCGGAAAGGAGGGACGGGAAGCTTAATTATTACATCGATTATATGTGACGTCCAGCACTTCTCCCATCGCACAACTTATAGCCTATATAGCATACTTCATTTCATGTTTTTAATTGGATACTTACTATGAGTTATTGGCATTGTAATAACAAACGCAAATTTAAATGGAATTCAAGTCGAAGCATTCATATATAACAAAATAATCAAATAACTACAGTATAACCACGTCGGCGGCGCGATGAGTAGCACTGTTTCATACTTTCTAGGTTCAACTGATGGAAGACCTTCAGTTTTCATGTTCTCCCCATGTTCGTAAATGTTTTCTCTGTATAAATCCGCAGTATAGTAAGTAAATCACTGTCCCCTAAATTTCTCTCCGGGTATGATTGTCTGAAGGTCTGCACCCCACCTGCCTCGTGCCCTCTGATTACTGTGACTGCACTTTGTACCAGACAAACGGCTGTGAAAGACGTATGTCTGGATTATGAGTTTTTTTTTTTTTTTACTGTAGTGCAGGACAAAGATGCAACGGTACATTTACTGGTGAATTTCTTTATATACATTTTTTTCATAATAATAATATAATAAAAAAAGAATTAAGCAGTCACATGTTCGTAGTTCAGAGTATATCTGTTGATGGTCTGTCACAATACATTGCAACCAAAATTTGGATTTTCTTTTTACGGACACACGCAGTCATGCCTTGTTCATACATTGTATGCCGGAAAAAATATCTTGCAGGCATGATGCATTTGAAAATGGTCGATAACGATGGAAGTAATTACGGTGGTAACGATAATTACACATAACAATAATTGCCAAGAAAAGTCTAGATTTAAATGGCGGCGATCAGTACACCAGACAGCACTAAACATCATCTAACCCTGGGACGATCAGCTGTGGCTAGATGGCCGCAACGGAGCATAAAGGGGTCGTACAAAAGAGTCCGCTAACTTCATTTACAGAAACATGTTCGAGCCATTCCACTCAAAAGTTATGCTTTATATCCTTAACATGTGTCTTTAATTGAGAGGTAAATGGTTAATTGGAGGTTGCTCTACAAATATTTATGGGTAAATAACTCTTAACCCTTCCCACAAAAGATACGAGAGACAGGAGAGCGAGCTATAATATACTTTTCTTAAGTATCTTTGTCCTGTTCATAAGAAACAACAACAACAATTGTATTAAATTGTATTAAATTGTTTCAGTGCAGAATACCCTCCCCTGGCTTCATAAACAGTAAATACTATGTAGATACATAAACCAGTCGAAATTGCAATTTCAGCTAGACGGCCTCGTTAAATAAATAAGATTTACAAAAAGCTGGCGAAATTGTTCATGCTCCACTGCTACCTGTTCAGACGAACGGACTTAGGAAATTGTACTATTGTTTGTATGTAGCTAATGTAATAGGTGGATAATGGGATGACGGCTCTTACTAGTGATGCAAATATGCACATCACACAATACGACAGGAGGACCCATCGCAGCACTCCTCTCACGCTTGACCACACAAATAAAATGTATTTGTTGGAATAAATGGATCGTTCCAAAACACTGAACAGATGTTCTTAATTTGCTCATCCTGCCTAAGCACATACTTGCGAGACAATGGAATTGACCTTAAAACATTTAACAGGGGAGAAACTGATGGAAACGCATGTTACCTTTGTGCATGCCAGTATAACGGTCCTTTAGAACTGTCAATTCATGGATTTTCCCAAATTGTTCAAAAAGAGGTTTCAGGTCTTTTTCCTCAAGATTCCGCGGTATCTGTCCGATAAACAGCTTTATAGCATCTTGGTCTTTCATGTTGTTGCCGCTCTCCGGATGAATGGAAATGGATTCTGACCCGTTCATGGGTTTCGGAAATGTGATCTGGGAGTACTGGTGCTGGTGCGGGATCAGGAGTAGAGGATGCTGGTTCGGCGCTGCTCCCGGTCCGGTGAAAAGCAGGCTGGTGTGAGCGGGATGGGGCTGTTGCGGTTGCTGCGGCTTCCCTGATTCAGTCTGGGTGAATCTGGCCATTCTGAGCTGGGAGCAGGCTGGATAATAATACCAACACACTCGCTGCGAGAGAGCAAGCGCTCAGCTGGAAACCGAGGCTCGCTTTTCCTTCCGACGCGCGACTCGCTCGCTCGCTCGCGCGCGCATAATATACAGAAAGGGAGACGAAGGGAGAGAAGAAAAAAAAACCATCTCGCGCCCGGTTGCCTGCTCTCGTGCGACACCTAGACGTGAAATTAGGGTAGTGCATCCATGACGGAAACATTGGTGCGCCGCGTAAAAGCCCTTAAAATTAAAAGATTGCGCAGTTAAGCCCTTTCGCATAATCAGCGGGCAAAATTAATCTGTATACTTTATTAATATTTAATGAATCGTTTTTTCCCTATTTTATTCTTTGAAACATCGTGTCGTATATATAACAGGCTTCATTACCAGTTTCTACGCTGGGGTGTCGGAGGGGCAGGGATGCCAGGGGCGATTCTAGGATTTGACCTTTAGCCCCCTGAAGAAATATGGGACGTCACCCGCCCCCCCACCATGATTTAATTTGCCGAGAGGAGGGGATCCCCACTATAAATTTTTCTGAGCCGGGGGGATGAAATGTATTACGAAAATCCAAGATAAATCACTAAATGGTTTCAGAAAAACCGTTTTGCAGGGGGACAAAATATAGGGGGGGGGGGCTAAAGCCCACCTAAATAAACTCCTATGCTCCTATGATGGATTCCCTGGCAGATTAAAGGGGTCCAGCACCTGACAAGGGACCTTGAATACATTAAATTGTTTGTTAAATTAGGCGGGGTGAGGGGGGGGGGGCAAGGTAACATTTTGAAAGGGGGCCGAGTCTCCGTCACTAGATATGATTGCGAGAAACCAAAATGGAAAATTAGTTTCCAGCTTGCATTAACGTTTAAGATAAGAAGGGGGCGCTCTTCCCATAGGAATTGTGATGGGATACAACAAATCGTGGCGTAGTTTTAATGATTCTGATTAACGTAGCATTTTAAACCCAGTTTGCAAATCTTATGCTCAGCAAACTCTAGCACGTGTTTAGGTTAATTTGGTGTATAGTTAAATAAAATAACAAGTCCTGACCAATATGAAAATTCGTACTGAAAACTAAAAGACTGAAGTATAATTTTCGCGAACTAAATTAATGCGACAAAAGCAATAGAATTGCGGTTTCATTTCAGAGCACAAAACACAACTTCCACGAGAAAATCAGGAAACTAAAGAAGGGAGGAATGAACAAACGCAATAAGGACAACCTGACACCATATTCTGTGCAAATATAGAAATTGCCCTCAGTCAATGCTCAATTTACTTGCAAAATAGCATCTACAAACGCTGCTGCTGCTATTTTCCTCTTTACTTCCACAGTTTGAATCACTTAAAAGCCACATTTCTGAACTTTTCTCAACAATATTGATGCAGGACGGGTCTTAATTTTAGATGACTTTCAGGCAATGCTGTTAGACCTATCAGAAAGTAATACACATGAACAGGGGCGTTTTCAGCTATCGAAAAGATCAGTGGATAAGTCAAGTTTACCTGGGGCTTTTTTAAGAATGATTGGCATCGAGGCATGAATTGTATTTTTATCATACAGCTTTTGCATTATGAAGAATTACATTTCTTCTCAAATGCACTATAGTAATGTATTTCATGGGGCAAGCAAATTATCACATCATTCTTAACCTTTATGATAGCGGTTCCCAATCCCCCTGTCCATGGACTGATACTGGTATGTGGCCATGATTCCACTGGGTCGCGGAGCACTGGAGGGGTTGCTTAATTTCCAAAAATAAACAACAAATGTTAAATTATTATGACCTTCACAATCACGATTTCTTGTTCGGGTCTTAAAAAAAGGAAATGGTTAAACTTTTGAAATCGGTCATCGCAGAAATCAAACAACTCTGTGGCACCTGCTGTTAATTTACAGGTTTGCGTGTCGTAGCTAATTGCATGCAGAGCCTAGTTTAAAACATGTAAAATCCTTTCACCTCAGCCTTTAATTCAAACGTATTCTAAAACGATCCACAGCTATACAGAAGCTGCTGGAGTTGCTATAAATCGTTTAAGGAGAGACACGGTTCATTAGCAGAGCTGTCATCAGCTTGAGGATTTTATTCTGAAGCTCATCCCAGACCTTTCACTGTATATCCACATCAGGAAAGATGTCACGGTTATATCTTAATGCATTTAAGGGCTGCCTAACCTACCCTTTGAGTATCATCATGGCGATGTGCGCATGCGTAATAATTGCATAGCCTTGTTTCTGTTGACCCAACTTGCGGCAACGCCGCCACATTCACACTCTATTAGTAGATACGTTATTTGGCTATAGTTTATTTCAGGTAACTTCATCTCCTTTTTTTTTATAAATATCGCAGTATTACTCGCGGAAATTTCACGTATGGCTATGTGATATCGAGCAGCCCTAATTTAAACTCAATGGTTTATTGATCTCCAAGCAACGTTCTATGCTATAGGCAAACTCTACAGGCAAATGTGGGTGACAGTAAGAGGGTAAAAGTGCAGGTGGGGGAGGCATCATTGTTTGATTGGCACGTGTGGGCCATAGAGGGGTTACACAGCATTTAACCTATGGGGAGTGTCTCCTGTTGGTACTGTAGCAAACCACATGGGGGTGCAGTGATTATTTTTTAGCTGAGAGGTAAGGAACGTATAGGCCAGGGGGTAGTCATGCTTTTCATTGACTAGCATCATTAGTAATTCACTGGGCTGAAGAGAGCAGGACAAGAAATCAATTGGTCTAGTAGGCTTAGTGCAAACGAAAAAGCTATTTGCAATCTAGCACCCTTTCATTAACGCCACTGCTTGTTAAGCACCAAAACACTGCATTGGGATGTTCAGTCGTGATTTGAGCAACTTGCGGAGAGAGCCTGTCACACATTTTTCATGGTAGGACTTCAGGAGAGTAGCTAATTTTACATAGTGCTCCGTTTCTGTGAAACTCAACATCCCGCAGTCTTTGTAAACCAGTCTACGCAAATCTGGCTTTTAAAAGACCTTGGGTTGAATAATAACACACAGTTACCACATTTAGAAATGTGCAGGTTATAGTGTGGTGAAATCTCACTGCGAGCAGCATACACAGAGACAGCAGATAGAGGGGTTGGAACACCAGTATGCTAGTATGCAGTTCATACTTTAATCGCTAGAGAAGGCAAAAGTACCTCTATTCTATAACATTCTGTTTCTATAGAAAGGGACTAATATACATTTCTATTCTTCCATCCATTTTCTATAGCTGCAAAGGGGCAGAGTGAGCATTGAGCCTGTCACAATGCAGGGGACTCACCCTGGATGGGATGCTGATTCACTGCACGGCGCTCGCACACTTTGGGCAGTTGAGAAACACCAATTAGCATATTTTTAGACACACGCTAGACAAGAATGCCATCCCCTCCCCCAACCCTGTGAGCCATGCCATGTCTTTTTGTGACAAAATGAGACCAACCTTGTGTCTCCCCAATCAATCACCCATTTTAGTGACGTTTTTAAGAGTCAAGGGGCCGAATAATTAACAGACTCTGTGGATCGGTGGGAGGTCTTGAGGTGGGTGGGGCATGTGTCAGGTGTGATCTTCTCCACAGATACCTGGGTGGTTGTTTCTCCATTTCTGGCCTCTGGTTCGCCTCATCTCCAGTTTGGATGAATCTGCATTCCATTCCTCTCACTCACCCCCCAGGCTGAGGTCTCGCCCATCAGGGTTGCAAGTCTTACTTCCCTCCCTTTTTCTCCACCTCACAAAGGATCCTTAGATCCTCCTGCTGCAGAATATCCAGGCAGAGCACGGGAGTCAGAGCACTGCACTCACTAATCAGCAGTGTATGCGGACATAATTCCCAAATCCCTGCATCGTGACCATTGTCGAACAATCCTTATTTACACTAAACTGAAAGGCCGCATGCGTTTATTACGTGTGTAACAGTACAGATTTCCCACGGTTCTTTATGTGTCAAGGTTTTAGGGTAACAGTAACAGAAAAGTTTCTGTGTCCTTATATTTAAGAAAATAAAGACATATCACCATTTAATCAATGAATGATTTGTTTTCCATTCAGAAAAAAGGCAGCATGACTAACTAGGGCTAGTTTATGTCTCCACTGTACAAAACATAAGCAAGAAAAGCATAAACTTTGATAACCTGCAGGTGCTTTGTCTGTTCTATATGAAATGAACAGTTTATATAGTATGTATAGTACATGTACAGACAATATTAAATTAAAAAATAATAAAGCATAATATCAAGCTACCTGTCTAAGCATTCTGTTAGTGTTCTGTCTAAGCTTTGACAACTTGGAAGTGATTTGCCTTCTCTATTTTATACAGACAGGGTACATACTTGTATAGAAAATATTAGTCATAAAAATAATACGAAGTGCAAAATCAAGTTGGTACCCAAGTGAGATAAGTATTTCTTGATGGTGAGGTTCTGTGTAAAAAGACAAGCATGTCAAGACTTTCTGAAGCAAGGCAACTGAGTACCAAATCTTCATAAAGAAGAATCGTTTTATTTGACAAGGACACATACGAAGTATCACTGCTTAAAAGTAACCAGAGGCAATCTTAAATGTAGATAAATATTATAATCTCCACAAGCCAAGAGAGCGCCCATGTTTTTGATGTGGCAGACACGTATAAAGGGGGTTTAAAGAAAGGATTGTGGTGAGAGTTCAAGTCATTTTAATAAAGGTGACGACAACTTTTAAAATGAAATACTCTATTAACATCCATTATCGATTTGATATTAGCAGCGGCACAGACAAGGAAATCAGTTTACATGATACACTCGGTTACACGCTAATGAAATGCATGCATTCCACGGCAAACATTACAGTTACATTTACAATGAACAAATACACATTAATTTACACCATTTAAGGATAAGTGTGGTGCAGTACTAAGCATGCAGGCAGCTGACCAACCCCACGACATCACATTATGTCAGACAATAGTCGACAGTGGGTGGGATCAGTGTCGTATTGCTAAAGTCTGCTGCTACCTTTAGCCAGGAGGCAGATCATTTACGCCATCTGCTGTTGAATAATGATATTTAAATTCCAGCCTTCGAATGTAAGACAACCCATTTCTTAGATTTCTTTTGGGGGAAAAAAACACCATCTAATATTTGCGACAGTATGTGCAGAATTGCAGATCGCATGTGCGTATTGAACCGTCGTGAGTATACCGTGTATACCGTGTATTTACCATGTATGTGTACATGCAGCTTGGCTGCCATGATAGGTGTCTGACCAGTTTCTTTGCCACACAGTCGCCGTACAAGTTGAAGCTGATCTCCTAGAGGTTTTCAGGCTCCTGCACGTGACACATTATGCTGATAACTTGTGTTTCTCTGTCCTGAGCCTGCACAGAGTATAAAGAGGGTGAGGGTACTGAGGAAGAGCTACCTAGCAAGAAAACAATTACAATAAACAAACTGCAAGACTACAAACATGGACTCTACAAGACCTCTGACGGTCTCCTTTTGGACATTAGCAGCAGATCTTTTATCTCGTGTAAGTTGTGAGGTGGAAATACCACAGTTTGAACTTGTTCCTAACCCTAAACCCAAAGGTGTGGCAGGTCTCAGACCAGCCTAAAACTCATGACAGGAGGAGTGACAGCCTCCGAGCTGCATGTTCAGCACATTGAGCTACACGGTGACCCAGGGAACAGGAAAGCACACTAGGCGTACACCAAACAGGATGGCTAGTAGGAGCTGCTGGGCAAAGAGGGAAAACACACATGGGACAGGCGAAGACAGGCACTGGCGCTGACACACAAATGCCCAGAACATTGCCCAAAGCATCACACTCCCTCCACCAGCTTGTCACCTCACTCTAGTGCACCCTGGTGCCACCTGATCCCCAGATAAATGATGCACATTTTAACAGGAAATGGGATTCATCAGGCCAGGTGAATTTCTTTCATTTATCTAAGGTCCAGTTCCAATGCTCATGTGTCATTTGTAGGCACTTTCAGTGATGGACAGGGGTCAGCATGCTCACTCTGACTGGCCTATGGCTACATAGCCCCATACACAACAGGAATCAATACTGTCTATGTTGTGACACATTACTCCAGTAACCATCATTTAGATTATCTGTCATTTGTGCCACAGTAGCCCTTCTCTTGGTTAGTATAACAGATGGGATGGCCTCCATTCACACCATGTGTCGCCATTAAATGGTTCTTCCTTCTTTCTGACCAATGTCAGTAGGTGCTCACCTTGTCATTTCAGAGATGCTTGTATCTACAATATTTAATTTGGCTCCCCCCCACGCATAAATAAGCCTTTACATTTAATTTATATTTATAAAGATTTGTCTCCACGACATCAAATTCTCGCCCATTCCTGTCCCTGACAGTAGTACTTCCTCTATTTTTTTGGTTAAATACATAAACAAGTAACTGAAATAACATATTACTAAAATTTTGCAATTTAGAAACACATTTTCTCTCTTTTCGGAGAAATTCACTGCTGTTATATTGACAATGTATTATCTTCTTACCTCCTCAATTTTTTAGCCACCGGCTGCCACTGATTCAGTGAGTTTTATATAAATTTATATAGTTGGGGGACTGCCGGGAAAGCAGCCACATCGCTGTCCCCCAATGGTGAGCATAAAATACTACATGCCGAATTTCACAGGCCGTCAGTAAAAGACACTCTAGTTGTAAATGATTATTTGTTTTCGAAGAACATTCTATACCTTAGTGTAATTTTTACAAATCTTGTAAAACGGAATACTTAATCTAGAATAACTTCCTATGTGAGAATACATGACATCATACGCTGGAGAAGGGGCGGTGGCACGAGACCGGAAGCGTGGCGCTCGCGATCAGCGACGAGAATCCCCGACCGGCGCGCTGTATTACGTCATCCGCTTAGTAGAGCCTATTCGTTAGTTGTGCTGTGTTGTGTGTATAGTGTGTATGTAAAAGCAGTATAAAAAACTTTTAACTCTTCTGATAGTGAAGCGCAAGCCGGCAATGTCGGTGAACTACGCGGCAGGTTTGTCTCCATACCCAGACAAAGGAGTATGCGGACTTCCAGAGGTAAAAGCCCGCAGCAGGTTATTCTCGACTTATAATAGGGTAGCTGGCCTGATGTTAATGTGCATGGTGTACAATGTAGGAATTATTTAGCCAAGCACTACCGGAATATATGCATGCATATGGTTGTTTGTAATAATATGTAATTCCATCGAGAGTAGTTAAAATGTACAGAACTGTTATTGCTGGTGTTAAAGATAATCAGCATGCTAGGTACTAGCAGTTTTTATAAGCTATATTACCGGCTGTTTTTTGAGCTTCTGCGATTTGTCCTCCAGGTGTTCGACAACCCAGAGCAAATGCGGAACAAAGTGGCACTTCTGGCCGAGATGATACGGCAAGCACAATACATGGTTGTCCATACCGGCGCTGGAATTAGTACCTCTGCAGGGATTCCTGACTTCAGGTACAAAATAATTTAAGCGTTTATTCTGCGGTGTGAGTTGTGTTTATTACAAATCTTTATCCATTATATTATACATAATTTCGATTGTTTTTTTTTACGGATTTCTATCTGCATTTCCTATACATATTTATAGCTATAACTGGATGACATAACCGTAATTCAAATTAGTAGTATAGCAGATGTTTTACGTTTCATCCAAAGCCATTTTCATTTTTACGCACTCAGATTGGTCAAAGAGTGTCATTACAGCTCCTTTTCTCAACAGTACAACAGCAGGGCTCCTCAAGGGAAGTGAACTGACAATCTTCAGGTTACAGATTTAGTCATGATTCCTTCTCAGTCTATTTCCATTCTGAGTTTAAAATAAACCGTTATATAGTTAAATACATTAGAAACTTAAGCTAAATTTATAGAAATGTGGTGCTTTTAGAACTGAAACAGTTGATCCTCACTGTCATCCCTCCCAGACTTGACGAATTTTCTGCAATTCCACAGTTCTGCCACTAGAGGGATACGAAGCTCTCTCGTGCCCTTTTTATTCAACTGCTGTTTGTCAGCCAAGTTTCATTTTAGTCTCTATCTTCTCTTGACTAATTTCTTAGTTCCTCTTTTCATTGGGGGAAAGAGGAGATCGGCTCACAGGGCACAGTACTATAGATATTTTATTAGCAATATTGGATTTGTTTCCAAGCTATAAACGTATATGTCTGTGTTTAGCCGCCAGAAATAACATAGATGAGTATGGAAAAGATTGATGTTTTGATTAGAACCAGCAACAAATATGCAGAAAGTTCAAGAAGGTCCAGATAATGTGTGAGCAGAGGTCCAGAACCGTGTGAACATTGTGGGAATGCACTCAAGGCTTATTGATCAGCATTACTGCATGTGGGAGGAAGCTGTTTATGTGACATGTTTTGTTTTGGTTCTCTTTGCTTTAAAACTGCCAGAAGGTAGTCTTTGGAATAGATGGTTGCCTGAGTTAGAGGGATCAGCAGTGATCTATGCTGTACATCTCCTTACCCTGGACGCATACAGGGCTTAGACAGGTGGCAGGCTGCGGCCGATGATCTTGTCACATGATCTGATGACAGGCTGCAGTTCATCCTTGGCCTGGGCAACAAACCAGACAGATACAGATGAGGTGAGATGGTGGCTGTGTGAATCTGGAGCAGTATTGCTGTAGAACGCTGAATTTCTTAAGTTGGTGCGGGAAGCACATCCGCTGATGGGCTTCCATTAAGATGTGTGTGAAGTTCTCATCCCACCTAAGGTTCTGCAACAGCATGGCACCCAGAAACCTTAAATAACTGAACTGTGTTGAAGAACAAGCCGTTCGGCTCAAGCGGTAGATGTGCAGGTGGCCGTTTCTGGAGGTCAAGCAGAAGTAAGCACCCAGTCATAATAATATCAAACGGTTCTGTCCTTCTCATTGACTGAGAGCCGAGATGAGGTCTTCTCTTAAATCTGGGGTCTTCTCTTAAATCTGGGGTCTTCTCTTAAATCATTGTTTATTCGTTTGACCCCAGATTAAGTATGTTGTTGGAAGACAGAGTTTTCTGGTCCGTCGTTTTCTGCCTGTCGGGGGAAGGGCCCCTCTAGACTGGACCCAGTGGTGTGGGTATAGTTTGGAATGGGGGTCAGCCAAGTGAGAGCAGCTGGTGTATACAAGCCCTTAAAGGAGCAGGTCACCCTAAAACTGAAAAAAGATGTACTTTAGAGGGGCTTTAGTGCTGTCTATCCATCTAGGTTGTTCTGCTGGGAGTTTCCCAGTCATGGAGATACCGGCCGTAGAAATGAATATAATGGGAGTGAATGGGATTCTTTCTGTGGTGATTAAACAACATTTGAGAAATTCAACAGCAACGTCTCTTACCAGAAATCATGATCCGGTCATTGAAGACAATCTACAGACACGCTGTCTGCTTGCATGGCATGAAAACACAGTTAACCGACTGTCAGTTGCCGCTGTCTCTGCCTGATTTAGGGGCCCCAAAGGTGTTTGGACGCTGGAGGAGCAGGGAGAGGCGCCTCACTTTGACACCACCTTTGAGGAGGCTCGGCCCAGCACCACCCACATGGCCCTCCTGGCGCTGCAGAGGGCCGGGTACCTGAAGTACCTGATCAGCCAGAACGTGGACGGCCTCCACGTCCGCTCCGGCTTTCCCAGGTGCCGCATCCGGCTCGCAAGTCATTTAAAAACGTTATTCGGGGCCATCAAATCGCGGTCCGTCTTATTAATCTGCCGGATCATATTGCCTTGTCGTTTTTCATATATATATATATACATATATATGTGTGTGTGTGTGTGTGTGTGTGTGTGTGTGTGTATATACAGGTATATATGTGTGTGTGTGTATATATATATGTGTGTGTGTGTGTGTGTATATATAGATATATATGTGTGTGTGTGTGTGTGTGTGTGTGTGTATATACAGGTATATATGTGTGTGTGTGTGTGTATATACAGGTATATATGTGTGTGTGTGTATATATATATGTGTGTGTGTGTGTGTGTATATATATATATATGACACACATATATAAATGAATCAGTTTTAAAGTGTATAAACAATTGAAGTGTTTTAATATATTTTATTGATCTTTTAGAGACCTGCTGTCTGAGCTCCATGGAAACATGTTTGTGGAGGAATGCTCTAGATGTGGCAAGTATGTGTGTGTGTGTGTGATTGTTTATATTACATTGTGGGGACCAAATGTTTAAAATTATATTTCAGAGTTCAAGGAAATCCACTGTTAAACAGACAGTTTCTTTAAAAAGTTCAGTAAATGTATGATATTTCCAAAGTCAGTGAGTAATCGTGTTGAATAATCATGATTTCAGTATTGACCAGAATAATTGCGATTACAATTTTTACTGTAAACTACAGCCCTGTGTGTGTGTGTGTGTGTGGGAATCTCCGAATCACTGTCTGCTCTCATTCCCTCCCCGCAGGCAGTACGTCAGAGAGAGCGTGATCGGCGTCATGGGACTGAAGCCCACAGGCCGCTCCTGCGAGGAGACGCGCTCCCGAGGCCTCCGCTCCTGCAGGTGCCCCCCTCTCCCTTCGTCCGCCGCTTACCTCTCCTTCTTTTCCCACCGCTAAAAAGAGACCTGTGGCTGTTACTGATTTATACAGATGGAAGTTTTCCTACGGTGATACAGGTTAAGTACTTAAAGGTACAAGAAGGCTCCAGGGAATCTCTGGTCTTGAGGGGCAGTTTGTTTAAACATTATGCTGCTTGTTCGCCAAGAGAGTCCATGCCAATTAATTTGAGGCAGTGCTTGGATGTGAAAGTGAACATACTGACTGAGCTGGAAAATGGCCCTGAAAGTCCCCAGAGGCCGTGTAGCTGTAGCGCTGCCGAGCTGCACACATGCTGCTTTCTCCTTTTTATTTTCACCTTATTTATTCCACATTGCTAGTTATTTGCTAGTTATTTTTAACAGGTGTGGTCCAGGGTTGGTACCTCGCATGGTAAATCCCTCTCAGAGGACATGAATTATTCTTTAGCTGCAGAACATTTTGAATGCAAGCTGGCTACATGAAGTACTGAATTACAATCACATGTCTCTGTCTCGCTCTCTGTCTGTCTGCCTGCCTCGCTCTCTGTCTGTCTGCCTGCCTGCCTCGCTCTCTGTCTGTCTGTCTGCCTCGCTCTCTGTCTGTCTGTCTGCCTCGCTCTCTGTCTGTCTGTCTGCCTCGCTCTCTGTTTGTCTGCCTGCCTCGCTCTCTGTTTGTCTGCCTGCCTGCCTCGCTCTCTGTCTGTCTGTCTGCCTCGCTCTCTGTCTGTCTGCCTGCCTCGCTCTNCTGCCTCGCTCTCTGTCTGTCTGTCTGCCTCGCTCTCTGTCTGTCTGCCTGCCTCGCTCTCTGTTTGTCTGCCTGCCTGCCTCGCTCTCTGTCTGCCATTCCTTCCTTCCTCCTTTCCACAGGGGCAAGCTAATCAGCACCATTTTAGACTGGGAGGACGCTTTGCCAGACCGAGACCTGACCCGTGCCGACGAGGCCAGCAGGTGGGCTGTTTGAAGCAGCTTCATTAGCTTTGGAAGGTTATTGCTGCCCTGTTTGGTTCTCCTGGTTGTGGGGGGGGGGGGGGGGGTTAATGCCAGCTAATCAGTGTATAGATAGCCAGGATTAATGCTGGGCGTGCATTTGGCCGGGCTGGGGAGGGCGGGTAGTACAGGCTGGGATGGAGCGCTGGCTGAATCTCACTGCACCCAGCTTCAGACACTCTCATTAGTTTGTCATAGTCCTGTGGCCTGTACTACGATGTGGGGTTACTGGCTTATCTGAGGATCACCAGATCCTCAGATAACGGGCGAAACATTTGGACGGATGCCAGTTTTTTGGTGTTATACGGACGCTTATTTATGCCGATAATTTGTTAAGCAGATTAGTAGTACGGCTAAAATATTAATGAGGCATTGTATGACGCCCAAAAGTGAGTATCCGTATAAGTACGGCTTATCCTTATGTTTAATTAACGTGTCAGACTTTAACCTGCAGAAAGTACCACCACACCGCCGACGTCTTTTTACCTTGTTTATTTACAAGATCTCCTCTTTTAAAAGATGTTGTGGCTGCTATTCTTCACCGCAACTTCAGTGCATATTGCATATTGGTATACCAAACCGTAGTATACCAAACCGTAGTATACCAAAACAGTATTATGTGGTGTACTCCGCTAATCAAATTTAATAAACATAACATTTATACAGATTATTAACATTAATATTTAAACCATACTACTAATCTCCTTACCAAATTATGGGCATAAATAAACGTTTGTGTAACACCGAAAAGCCCTGGTGATTACTACGCATGCGCGATGTGATATAGCTCAACCCTGTTCCCTCATATCTTGAGGAATCTGACTCCACGTTGCCCCTTCGCAGGCGGGCTGACCTGGCACTGACCCTGGGCACCTCGCTTCAGATCAAACCCAGCGGTAACCTGCCACTTTGCACCAAGCGCAAGGCGGGCAAACTGGTGATCGTGAACCTGCAGCCCACGAAGCACGTGAGTGTGAAACGTGCGCACTTAGACTGCCTGATAGCCCGGCATGTCGCACGTCACAGTGTCGTTATCACTATCGGAGACCCTGCCGGTGCCCCAGGGCTGTTTTCCTAAGCAAACCCTCCCACTTATCGTTATACTGATTCTCCAATCACTATACAAACCCGTCTTTGTGTTTACCTGCATCCTGGGTCATTGGTGTACGACATAGTATCATTATATAATTATAGTGAAATTGTAGTTTAATATATAATAATATAGAATATGTATATTTGTAGTATGATTGCCCATATAGTGTAATTAGTGTAATTTTAGTATCAGTCTCTTTGGGAGTATTTTATATACTGTAATACAGAAATATGAATGCTGACATGTGAGACCTTTATTGTGTTAGGACAAGCATGCCGACCTGCGTATCCATGGTTACGTGGATGATGTCATGACCCAGCTGATGGACCTGCTGGGATTAGACATTCCTAGCTGGGCGGGGCCGACCCTGTGTGAGAGCTCCACGGCAGACTTCAAGCCCCCGCTGCCCATCAGCCTGAAAGTGGAACCCAAGCGCG